ACAAGCATCTGCTAACCGTCTTTAACGTTAGAAGGGATCATCTGATTTGGAAAGAGTTCTCTCTGGATGTGTAAGCATCCCCTCCAGGCATTTAAAATGGATTGTCGACGGATTATAAATGTTTTTATTCCAGCCTAAAATGTGATCTTCACTTCTGGAGGCAAGACACGCGTCTGCTAACGGACTGCATGACTACATAACTTGATATTGGAATAAAGCATGAAGAAGTTTCAGGGGAAACCTGCAGAATGTACCACTACGTGATCCACATTGTTCATGTCAAAGGTGCTCCAATTTTTTCACAGTTTTGTGGAGGAATACCCATCTTTTAATGGACAGCGGATTTTTAAATGGACTCTCCTCGACAAAAATCGCACACCTTACAAGACTCTAGAGTTTCGCAAAACATCTGCTGCATTTTCATCACGAGGCACCTGTGTTGAATGACTGAATTTCAAATAACCCGAAGCACAGGAACCAAGATGGAGATTTTCTACATTCAAGAAAAGCTGAAGCCCATTAATCAACAGAAAAATATATATACATCAGTTGCGATAGCATTGTACTGTATTGCTTGCGCGGTGTAATAGAAAATGAGATGATTAATTATGGATAAGACACAATCATAGTCTCATACAGGTTGAAATCGAGAATTGTATTTCCAAATTGCGTCTGATGTCTACCTTGTCAGTTGTCTTCGAGAACGGTAGTGATGTCAGTTCTTGGTCTAGATTGGAATAGTCATGTATGAGTGAATCGTACCTTCTGGGTGCCTGATGTCCGTTGCCGATAAGGGTTGTCACTGGCTGCATTTTGTACACAGCACTAGTAATATCATGAATTTTTAACAGGGTTACTCCGGGTAGCGCGTGTCTGCACCATTTTAAAGAGTATTAGAAATGATTTTGTATTAAAGGGGGAGATATGCTCGATGAAATGCTTGAAATCAAAAATCGTAGATTTCTGAAATCTGTTTATTCTTTGTATTATTCTTTTATTTAATGTAGATTATTATGACTGGGAAATAAGTCAGAATTTTTGTGATGGTTATTCGCAAAGGTTTAAGTGATCGATTACAGGGTAAATATTGAAAGAAGGGTATTTACAGTAAGATTTAAATTGCTTTAGCATATTGAAAGTATGTGTTTAGTAAGAGTTTGTCTTCAAGATAAATGATTAATTCTATAGTTATATCGGTCGTTGTATGTAGACAGTGATGTATCGATAAGGTGTAGGTCTATTGGGAAATTCGTAATGGTATATTCGGGTATCAGTTGTGTGACTGATTTATCAAGACGGTAAATGGAAGAACATAACTAATAACAGTGTCTTTACAAAAAATGTAGTAGAAAATATTATCTCGTGAGTTGTTGTGGAATAACTTGTTACGTGTGACTTCAAACGGGGATTTGTACAAACCTTGAATATATCTAAAAGGATTGGTTGCAAAGTTGGCTTCCGATCAAGAATGAAAAAAAATATGTTCCGTGTTAAATGGTGTCGACGGGAACGTTAATGTAGGCCTACATGTATAATGAAAAAAGTTGATCAAGCACTTGCGAAAAACGGTTATCCAACGAGTGACTACGAGGACACAACGTGTACAAGTATTTTACCGCGAGTATGCGAACACGATGTACGAGCGTGCGAGTGCGAGGTTAAAATGAACGAGCGTGCAAGTGCGAGGTAAAATTATGCATCGGTTAGCAAGAACGAAGGTTTAATCGATACTAGATGACTTTTATCTTGCCGGTTTGTAAAGTTGAATGATTAATCAGACATTTTTATTTACGATTTATTAGAAGGGTCGTGGAATTTTATACAGTTGTGTTGTGTTATAATTATATTGGTAAGGTATCAGCAGTTGTCAACAAGGTTTATAATCGAGTATTGACTAATATTGAAAGGTTTCCGTTGTCAAGCTTACTGCTCTGTATGATATTATTTCATGTGATGAACTTAATCAATTTATCGCCCATTAAGTTTGAGTTCCGCGAATCCAACGATCGTTTATCGTTTATCGACAGATCAATAGAAATTAATAATCAACCACCATAAATCAGTGATATTTGTATACATGTAGAACAGTGGCATCTGGTTTACTTAGTAACAACCCTGCAAGGTACTAGTATCAATTTTCAAGACGCCGACAAGTTTACTGTTATCGGATTAATAATCGATGTGGTCGTTATAACGTTGACAATCCATGGATAAAAAAGACCATTTCGTGATTGATAATGAACATGAATCTTTCAACGATAAGTATTCTTATGCTGAAATCTACACGTCCGACAAGCGTTCGTCTTCTTGTACAACAGCTTTTAAGCAACTTACTTTTTGTAGATTTTGTGATCGGTTGCATTGTATAATCTGTTGTATTGAGTGGTGATCTATGAATTTTTGTGTAACTACATGTAATTTTTTTCTTTTGATTATATTTGTAAAAGGAGTGATGTATGGTTTCTTATCACATGGACTGATTTTGTTGAAGTGATAAATGTGTAGACATCAGTCAACATAGACTTTACAAGAAGTACATGTATTTATAGTGTAACAAATGCGTGGGTGGTTGATCAAAGGTATCAATCATTACTCATCTGTCATGGCTGATACCTGTGTACTGGTATATGTAATATTGCTTTTTTTTCAGAAACTAGTAACAGTTTTAAAAACCTGTGCCAAAGAAATATGGGCCGTTGACAATCGGGTTCAACGGCTGAAGTCGGTTAATGATTAACGTGAAATAATTACGATGTATTGAGGGTACTGTTACCCCCAAAAACATTTCTGTGATTCAGGGAGAATGATAACACGACATTTATTGATTGATCACAAAAGACGCGTCAGTATGGTAAAAACAGAGTATTTTTCAATAAGATCCCAACTCATTAGATTTGCAGGGTGAAGCAACGAATACTTGCTGTAAATAAACTTTGAATGTCTGTTTGCAAGCTGTACGTACGTTTTTGGGGTAACTGAATACCACAAAGTGTCACAGTGTCCACTTAAATGATCTTAGGCTTAACTGTAGCTTAAAGTGTCAAATTTACACTAATCCGATGTTCAGTATTAAGTCACTTGTCACATGACTACTAGCCAGCTTTAAATGTCCTTAATGGCGCGGATAGGAGAGCTATTAGGGGGATGGCTGGTAGTCTCCCCCCTCCCCTTTACTGAATTGCTCGTGAAACGACGTTGATGGCGCTTTTGGTAGAATTGTGCTGTTAGAAAATTGCCACATAGGTTCGTAGAGGCCGATACGAAAATACAATGGTTGAAAGCGCCAAGGGCTGAAAGGTTACAGTGGTTACCGAATTATAAAGTTGGCTAAGTTGTAGTAGGGCCATTTTTGTATTGGTCAGTGAAATAACGTTGGGTAAAGGTATTGGAGATTTGTTGAAATGCCACAGTTGAGAAAAGTAAATTTAAGGGAACATGTTCGATGTGATGAGATCTTTTTATAGATCAGTTTTCAGATCCGAAAAGTTATGAGACTGAGTCGACTACTATAATGCCTTCCGAACCATCATAAATCAGACCGGATGTTGGTCTTCGTGTTACTAGTCGGAAGATTCAACTTAAACGTCGTACATTCGACAAATTGGAATGTGATTGTTGCAAATGAGAGTTCTGTGTTATAAGGTCAAAATAATCGATAATAATGCTACATTACGTTTTCGATCAATATAAACTACAGAAGCGAAAAATGACCAGCAGTACTGGAAAAATCACGATTTAGAGATCGTGGTCAGACAAAACCAAACTCATGATACATCTCACTTTGGTCCATACAGAAGGTAAGCTCACAGGTTTGGCAGAGTAGGCCTAAACATAAACCGAAAAAAAATCTAGGGACAGTGTTGGTGATTATATTGAGGCCTAGAGTTGCTAATAATGGACAGGCCTAAAGACAGAATATAAGCATTTAAACCATTTCACTTAGGCCTATAACATTACGTTATATTTGCTTAGCTTCAAAAATAATGTAATGTTATCAGGCGTAATGTGTACTATTCCTCAGCTGATAAGCCTTAAGTTATAAAGTTAGCTAGGCTTAGAGCTAAGTGACTCCAAGAAATGGTTGAAATTGATGTGAATAGCGTAGACTTACATGTATGTGATCTAGACCTATTGAACGTAATTTTATATGAACTGAAAAAAATAAAAAATATGTTTGAAATTCGTACTCATCTAAATTTGGTGTGGAAAGGACGGTTGTACGGGGAGAAGGGAGGCCGTTTTAATAGGTCTGAAAAAATAGCATTTTCGATAAACTGAAAACTAAAACAATTTGGATTAAAATTCGTACAAATCTAAAAAAAAAAATCCAAAACAATGGCGTGGAAAGGACGGCTTTAAGGGGAGATGGGAGGCCGTTTTAATAGGACTGAAAAAATATCATTTTCGATAAACTGGGAACTAAAACAATTTGGATTAAAATTCGTACAAACCTAAAAAGAAAATTCCAAAACAATGGCGTGGAAAGGACGGCTTTAAGGGGAGATAGGAGGCCGTTTTATAATAAGAACAAAATTGTAATTTTTGAATAAGATTTCCAGTCCTCGTAACGTTTTAACTGAAATCGTGACGTGGAAAGGTTGCCTGTAAAGGAGACCATGGAGGCTGTTTATATGTATGTATTAAGAATGTGATAAAAGTTAGTGAAAATTACTTGCATAAATAAATCATACTTTGGATGTATCGAAGAATTTATGAAAAAATAGAAAAATTATGACCGTGGATGGAAATGGTAACTTTGTCAGAAATGTACAAAATGCTAATTCATGAGATTTATGCCAGAAAATCTATTTTTTCGAGTACGTGTATAAAAGTAAATAATATGTTAAACATCTGGTAGGTTCGCGAATTAATTCATAAATGTGTAAATTGATATGCCCCAATTTTGTTACAATGACGGAAAGGGGTGGCTTTAATAATATGGCAATATTGAGGAACCGTTTATGGATTTTGATTCAATTAAATTTAGATTGAAACCAAACTTTATTTGAAATATTACCATTTCTTTAATGACGATATTCACTTTGTATTTCTGCTAAATTACTGTCTGATTTATGTACAATTTATAATTTTTAAGCTTTGTTTAAACAACTTAACGTAAACATTGTTAAGCCTGACCCAATAGAATGGTTTGCCAAAAATATGCTGTATTTTAGTTGTAAAATATAAAAATCTGACTTATGCCATTTTTTAAAATAAATGTTTGTGTACTATAACACACAGGAAAAAAAAAACATTTCCTGTTTCATATTCGACTGTGGAGTTCTGGGCCGTAGAGATCGACACACGTGAAGGGCTGTTATGTGTAGCGCCCTCTATCAAATTTAGTCAAGACATTTCATGCTGCAAAATGCAATCTTGCTGCAGCTACTTCTCCCAGTTGCCAGGAAATATTGCATCGTGTGATTGTTACAAAATCTGCTTCCAGACGGACAAACCCGTTATTTTTAATGTTAAAAACAATAATGCGGATTGTTCAAATTCCAGCCGTTTCCTGAAAATCTAAGTTACATGACTAGCTACATATACACAGTCTGATACAGGCGTATTTCAAATATCACTAATGTTAATCAGGGAAAACTAAAACAAAACATAAATGGTTCACTACAGCAGTGTCAAAGTCGTAAATATTAATTTGGACCCTTGTACGTTAATTCCGTATCATGAAAGCCCATGCATGTACAAGTATGTAAACACACAAACACTAATTAAAAAAACACCATTATGTTGTTCTGCAAATTTCTATATACATCTGCAATCAAAATGTGTAAATTTGATGGGTTAGAAAGAAATTATGTTACAAATGCAATTGCTTCACACAATATTCGAAAGTCATTTCACCACATGGCGAAAATACTACATGTTTATAGCAAGGACTTGATCACAGTACTTGAAACCCAAATAAAAATTATTATGAAGCCCTCTTTGTAAAAGTGCTACCCTATTATTCTGAAAATAAACCTGTGTACTTAAACAGCAGTCTCAGTGATACAAATCGATATACGAGTATATGAACTTCATAAAATGACCCAATTTTCCTTTAAATGTTAGAGACAGTTCTAATGATACAGGAACAGAAGAATTTGACCGCATTTTCCGAATTCGTGCGCTTAATTCCCTTCCAACGTTACCATTGCAACATTGCCAATTTGTACTTTAAAATCTCTCACTGTATTGCTCAGAAGCAATGTATTTTTCAAATTATCAACCGATAATCGAAAAACATTTATTGACTGCCGACAAAGAGCAGGAAACGCTGTTTGTAAATAAGTGATGTGATATAAATGTCAATTTATAAGTGAGTCGTTCTCGAGGGTGATTTGCACACTTCGCATCCCACACACGCAGGATTAGCAACACCGGCTGGTTCGCCGTTTTCCACGGTAATGTCTGACATGATGTCGCTAGTGATGCCAAAGAGTGATTTCTGTGAAAGGGAAACAAAAATATTTAAATATTTTTTAGAAAATATGAATAATCATTCTTTAAAATGAATGAATCCTTTCCAAATGATTTTTTTCATTACAGCTTTAAAATCTATTCAGCTTGCGGGGTTCAACTGGCAACAAGCACTCTAAATAATCAAAGAACACTGTTCTTAAACCAAAGTCTGAAAGTTGACACTTGAAAACTTATGCTCAGTATTTTGAGCGACCCAATAGTTGAATGGCTTAATGTTATATTTTAACACTAAGATGTGTGAATAATTACATAAGAGTTGAAGGCGAGTCGGGACCGTTAGGATTAATGTTAACTATATGTATACGTACTTCCTGCTTAGAATTATAAATTTATGGTAATGGGATTTTTTATTATTGGAAAAAAAAAAAGGTTTGAAATGGAGCCTGCGAGAAAATCAAACTCTGAAATAAAAAGGGCGTTTAAATGAAACATGTTTTCAAAGCTTTTCAATAATTGGTGGTAAGGGACACAATATACCTCATCGTCTACTGTTGCTGGGCTTGTGAGGCAACAGCAGCAAGATTTCCTCCAATTCCAGAGCAACAGGGAGTCAACTTTAGGTCTATCAAAGAATGCTGCAAAAAGAAGGAACGTACACAATCAGCACAAAACATCAAACATTTAAAGAATTATTTAATTGATAAAGGTATGAACTCTAGAGTGATTAGTTTTTCTTATTGGAAATAATTTCCTTCGACTACACAGCTATAATTTTTTCTTATTTCCAGCTGAAATTGTTAAACATTTCCCCTCCAGTCTGGGATCCCTCCTGATTTTCAACGACAAAGAAGGCTTTAAAACCACTTTGTGCCGGGGCATTTTTCAACGTTGATGATGCTGGGCCGGCATGACTATCATTTTTTCTGTTTTCAAAATCCTTCAACAATTCATCATTCCATTTAACAGTCGTTTATAGCCGCACGGAGTAATCTTTAGGCGCTAC